CTGAGCATAGCTGTGATTTTTCAAATATGTAAATAAAGCTAAGCTTGTAAGTAGCAAAGTAGGTTGTAGAACGTGCATAGAGACATGGGTGTATGAACCCCTTGAATTTGCAGTGACCTTCATCTCTGAAGCTGCATGTGCTATTCATCATCATCATCATCATCATCATCATCATCATCATCATCATCATCATCATCATCATAATAATCAGTCAGAATATGAGTTAATCAGATTACTCACTTCTGAGTAAATAAAATGATTTATACGGAAAGCCCAAGGGGTTTCCTGGCAAAAAACAGGCCATCAATTTACACTACAAGTGACTATCTCCTAAAGCAGCTTATGCATGTGGGAACAGCCAGCTATTGTTTTGCCGATTCTGAGCAAACTGCAGTCAAGGCAGGCCGGCTTCATCAGTTGTTTGGAAACGATTGTGCCACTTTAAGAACACCAAGTGGGAGGCAACACAAGCACCACTGAACAAACAAGTACCTGTGTACGCTGCTGCGCTCACCTGAGCCTCACACAGGTGAGGGGACGCTGCCCTCACCCTCCCTTGTTCCTTCTGCAGATCGAACACCTCTAACACATGCCCTTGCTGCCTGAGAGTGGAGGATGGACACCCAAAAGAAGCAACACGATTTTTTGTGCAAGACACCTCGAAGACACTGAGAAGGTAAGAGTAGATAGAAAAGATCTGAATACCTACAGGGTCACACAAGTTTTAGAGAGAGCCAGAACTTATTTCAGGTAGTCAAGTTGAGAAAGGTGAAAAAATTCAACACAAATTCAACTGCTTGATGGCCTTCCTGCAAAAATAAAGGGATAGTTAAATTATTTCTCATTTGGTTAAAAGGTTGTCAGCAGGGAAGATATGAAGAAGAAAATATAGAGTTGCTATTCATATAATTTATTTTAAGTTCACTAATATCAAAATAGTTTGCTAAATTGTTAGAATTATGTCTGCAAGTAAATTGCATAGGGCAATCATTTTTTCTCCTTTTAAACTTAGCAGACGTTCAGTGTGCATAAGTTATTCAAACATGTTTAAAGTCTAAATATTTCAGAACAGGAAATGTCTGTTTGACTTACACGTAGGTAACTCATCTCTGCTACACATTCAATAATCAGAAAAATAATAGACATATGTCAGAATGTGTTATCTGACATTAGACAAAATACAAAAGTCAAAACCTTTGTGTCCAGAAAAGTGTGATTGATGATTCCTTTAAATAGCAGCTGAGAAAATTCTCTTGCATTTTAACTTTTATTGTAATCACCTGCTTCCTTTGGAAATGAGGTGAAACTAAAGGCATGATCAGCATAATACCAACAGTGTGCTATACTACTTTTACCTTATTAAATATTCTCTGTCTTCATCATAACTTTCTTTTTCAAAATCTTCTCCCAGGTTTCACATATTTCATTTCTTCACCCAAATTTCATATTTTTTTTAAGTATTTTAAGCTATATCTTTGTCCTGCTGTGACTTTACTCACAGGAAGCTAAATATACACAGATTTTACTTAATTAGACTAAACTACAGCATGTTTTATAAAGGCTGAAATCCTGTATAAATGAATACTGAACTATTTACAATTAGCACCGAATTCAAGTGTTATTTGTAGAGGGAGATATTTATAACAAACAATTTCAATGAAATTTCTTTTAATATTTAATGATTCTGAGAATTTTCATACACTCTTGGTTTGAAAGGTTTAGCCCTCTAGAGATCAAAGCAGCATCATTAGATCTTTCTAAGGTTTTATATAGTTGAAATGCAGCCTTTTCTCTTAGGTATCAAACTCATTAATTTGATTTCTGGCTCTTATAGGAAGGAGTTTTAAGTGACGCTTTTAACTTGCAGTATAGTTATCTCTTGATCATCACCCTGATTTCAAGTCCATGATTGTGCCAGACATCCACGTTTCAAAACTTTTCATGTTCCTACTATTTCCTACCTCTACTTGTAACACAAGAAGTGGCAGAGAAATTCACCTTTCTGCAGGTACACGAGATTACAAGGCACACTATGGACATTGCAGCAGCAATGACCTCCCTCTTCAGAAAACAAATCATGTGTAATTATCTCTAACTATTAATAGGAAGTTGGCAGTTAAGTTAGAGAACAAGTACACAGTAGCACTTGCTTTCCCCCACTTGAAGGCTAAATATTTAAATCACTGACTGCGTGGAAAATGAAGCAGAACTGTTGCTGGTTTATGCCTCTTGACTTGCTTTTCCATTAAAATAATTATGTGCCTGGGAGAAGAATGTTCACACCTCTGCAAAACAAGAAGTGTTCTGCAGCTCCAGTTGTGCTAAAGCACCTGGGAGTTCATCTTTGTATCTCAGTGAGCAGCTCTCATATGCAGATAATATGAGAGCTATAAGCCCTGTTTGTAGAAGATACTGGAATTTCAATAGTAAATACCTGGCTTTATTTAGCTTACTTAATTAGCATAATTTAGTGGAATTGGTGACCTATTAAAATATCAAAGATTGTAGAATCAGTTGAAGGAAAGAAAAGGAAAAGGAAAAAGGAGAGGGAAAGGAAAAGGAAAACAGAAAGGAAAAAGGGAAAAGGAAAAGGAAAAGAAAAGGAAAAGGAAAACGAAAAGGAAAACGAAAAGGAAAGAGCCATCCCGAATCGGCAACCAAGGAAAGGGAGTTGTTCCCAAGGCCAGAAGGAAAACCCACCAGGAGGGTAAGAGCCCAGGCTGGCTAAAGCAAACAGATATACACAGATCATAAGTCCCATTTGGAAGAAAATAATCCAGTGTCCCTCTTTACAGCCTCAGACTCTTGAAATGGAGGAAATAACGGTGGAAACAATCCTGGCCCCGTGGCAAATCCTGCTGGTGATCCTCGCCGCAGTGCTGACCATGAGTCTCCTCATGCTCCTGCCCCCCGCTGCCGTGGTGCTCTGGAGGATGAAGCGTGTGCCGCAGATCTCCCTGCACGGCTCGGTGTGAGCCAGCCCTGCGAACTGCTGCCACACCACCCATCCCTGCAGAGGATGGTTCAGAACGATCACATCTCTCAGGATCACTCTTTCTGCCTAAGATCCACCCAAAAGCAGTGGGTTTACCAATCTATTGCTGCTTAGTTCCTGTGAGTAGAGGATGTGTGTAGTTTTGTCGTCGTGAACTACAGTTCTGAGCACTTTGCCTTTCATTTTTTGGCTATATTTTAATTACTGTTATTGGCTCAGTTCCTAGACTGAGTTCTTCTCTTGTGTTATAATGACCTGAAAGAGAAGCAAGCATAATGCAGCATTGTATTTCCTTAATTAATATCAGGAAAGCCTCCTGTTTATAGTTACACTGTAAATATTACCAAAGCCTTCTAGCTGAGATGAGTGACAGTTATGCAAGTGAACTTATCAAAAGCATGTAGGATACTCTAGGGAGGTAGTACTTTAGTCTGGTTGTATTGCAGAACCTAAAAAATAAATAATCAGAGAATGATGCAATAAATAAGCATCTTGTGCTTCTTTTGACTGATCTGAAAATTTACTTGGCTAAAATGTTCTTAATGTCTTTACTTCTATATGAATTTTCTTCTCTCTGCAACATCCAAGTGCCAGAACACAAAGCCCCCCCCCATCCTGGAGCAGGAGCATGAGGGATGGCCCAATGCTCAGATGTGCCCGGCCAGACACCAACGTGAGGTTAATGCAAACATACAGCAACTGTTTGCCTGAAATAAATTATGCAAATTTACTCTGGGAAATAATGTAATTAAGTTTACTTTAGTTTTTAACTGTCTTGTAGAGGCTTATTGGGTCAACCTCCCTTTCTCATATATAAATAATAACTTGGATGGTGGGCATAGAACAAAACTATTTCTCTGTAAGTTTTTGGAAAAAAAACCCAAAACCAACAAAACACCCAGCAACTCAATCTCCAGCTTAATATCAAATTTATGACACATCATATTAAAGCTTTCCAGCCTAATTCTTCCACATTATGTGATGCTCATTATCAGGATTTCTGACACACAGAATTAATTTAATAAATTAATTTAATTAAACAGATTTAATAGTTTCTGATAGTTTACAAGAGCATGTGTTTGATTTCCTTACAGAATACAATATTAGTTTTCTTTTTTTGGTTGGTTTAGAAAGTCACCAGAATAGATTAATATAATTGAGAGAAAAAATATTTTTTAACACCAGTTGAAAAAATATACTAGAAACTGCTCCAGATATTTTAGTTGAGCATCAGCTGTTAATGAACTGGCTGAAAAGACTCAAAGCCATTACAATTTCATTTGATAGAGATCATTTGTTTGACAGAAATAAACAAACCCACCAGTGATTCAAAAGTCATTGCTTTTCTTTAAGACTACAGCACTTTTGTCTCCAACACAATGACCTAAGTTACTGCTGCATGGTTTATAAGCAGCCAAAGCAGCCAAATCATCCCTTTGCTGATGTAATTATCTGCTCTATTCATTGTCATATGACTGTCTGCTCCTGGGCCTAAAAGCAGCTGCTGTTTTCTTTTGCTTGTAATGACTGGATTTTAAGTCTGAAATATAAGCATGTAAATATATATCTGAATCATTTATCCAATTAATGATGTAAAGGTCAATTATACATCATGTAGCACAAAACTATGCTGTCTGTGTCTGAGAGATTGACAGGAATAGGAAAAAGGTAAAGAAGGGAAAGGAAACACAAACAGATGAGCTGTCTGTCTTCAGATCTACAGCTTCAGTGTTTGCTCAACAGAAGAAAATTAAAATATAACTCTTAATACAGGTTCCACTGAAAACCAAGCAATAACTAAGCTTCTTGTTTACATTTCGTAATAATTCATATGCACATCTCTTTGGCAGCTACAGCTCCACAAATTAACTGGATTATCAGGGCTAAGCTGTTTTTGGTCTTCACTTGCCCCAAGTGCCAGGCAGACAATGGACAGGTTCTCTGCTGGTGTTCTAAACCCCAGTCAGGCAGGCACATGAGTAAAGAATTGCATCCCTACAGCCAGTAACTGTTATGACTTTCATTGTTTTAATGTTCATCAGAGCAATAGTGATTAATTGGCAACTATAAAAGCAAGTAGAAGTATGGTCCTTTCTCATCGAAGATGACCCCTGACAGAGAACGATTTCTGATAACAATTAGTGTGTTTAACTAATGACTGCATCCATTAAAAAACTGTAATCCTTATTTGATTCCAGCTAGACAAATTTAAGCCATAAAAGTGAACTTCTTTCTTTGAAACACTTCTACCATCAGCTATGTGATTAGATTTAGTCTATATCTCTATATGCCAAAGCTGAGGTCATATTATAACTATGGTCTCCAGTCCTTTAACTAAATAAAAGCTGTATGCTTACACGTCTTAGAAATGATTCCACTGCTCTGCTTCTCTTGTCAAAATACCCATGTCAGACTGCAGGCAGCTGGCTGGTCTGTGGCACGAGCTTTTTGGTGCTAGTAACCACAGATGATACAATCAGCCTCCTCATCCCGTTTGGAGCCATCAATGCCTTGCTCAGCAAGCTCTTTGAGGAAGATGTTTAGCTGCTCTCTCTGAGCTTCAGGGAAGGCTAGTGTGTGCAGACAGGTACTGTTGCTGGGGAAATAGGCAGATTTAGCTCCACCGATGGCCATCTCAGAGGCTGGAAAGATCAAAGATGACCAAAAGGAAAATTAAAAAAAAAAAAAAGGCAGCTGAATTACTTTGCTTAGACTTGTCCTCATCTTTAAACAAGTGCTGGAATTCCCATTTTCTAGACTAGTCTTCAACTTGGAATAAAAGTGCCTAAATGATTGCTTTTGTTAAGCCTTAGAAAACAACTGCTTTAGCAACGAGGCACTGTCAACAGTAAAATATTTTTCCACTAACCATAGGAGAGATAGGGTAGCCCATTTGTGTATTTATATGCACATTTATTTTTAAATTAAGGTAATAACAACAGAGTCAGACAGCCTGCTTAGGGTCACAGATTGCTCAATGGACACAAGGGGAGCAGACTTAAAACCCTTGGGCTGCTGCATGAAGATGCTGGCTGGGGACCAGCTGCTGGGTTTTATTGTGTGTACACACAGGGAATAGTGCAGGTGATGGCCAATTTTATTGAGATTCTTCAAATACTGCTGCAAGATAAACAGTTTTATATTCTACTGCTGTCTGTTCAGTGGGTCACACAGACTTTGTGCAACAAGGGGTTTGTGTCAAGGTGATACCAATTTCCTGTTAAAAAAAAAAAAGGTGCATCTTCCCACAAATATTGCATATGTGTCATATTTGCTACCCCAAGTTGAAATGGCAGTGCTCAGGCCTTTGTGATAGTTTTAAAGCTAAGGTGATTTCTCATTCAGCAATTTGCCAGCCCAGAGCTAGCTCTCAAAATGTCACACATGCCAAGGTTGTCACACGTGCCAAGAAAGAAAACCTTTTCTTTCCTCCTTTTTTTTTAAACAAAAGAGACAGAACCTCCCTTCCTCATGAACAGATATGTCTGAGAAATACTCACGGTTGCAAACAGCCAGTTCCTTTCCCCCAACAAGCTGTGTGGTCCAGGAAAACCCAGTGGCATTGCTGCATACTTCATACAGTCTGCTGCTTCTGAGGAACTGAAAGTCATAACCCTTGGGAAACAATGACAGGGAGCAAATAAACAGTGTCTTAGGATAGGTCATGGTAAATGTAAGATGAAGAAACATTCAGTCAGCGAAGATCAATACAAACACTACAACTAATCCCTCTATAGCAAGGAAAATTATGCATTACACAATAAACAGCTGTAAATTAATGCATGGATGCAGCAATATAGCAGCAGTAAGCCATGAATGTTACCTTGTTGCACATGGGTTTGCAGTACTGAGTGCTGTCGATGGTGACACACACCAGCCCACCATTTCTTGGTGCCAGGGGGAGAGGGCATGAAGGTAGCTGCTTGCAAACTTTTGAGTGGATAAAAAACAACAATAAAAAAACCCAAAACTAGAAAAACCCCAAACAAACAAACAAACAAAAAGTCAAGAAAACGGTGTATCAGAGTGAAAGTGATTATAAAAATCTCCCCTTCCCAAGCAAACTCACTGACCTGGGTATGGTTGATAACTGCCCCCACTAGGTGACTTTGTCAAAGTAAGCATTTTCACTTGTTTGAAGGTTTTTTTCCCTTTTTATTTTTTTGGCAACACCCAATTTTTCCATCACTTTCCCACCACAACAGTGTCAGCCCCAGTTACATTTTAGAGATAGCTCAAAGGGGCATTTGCATTCGCAGCACTGACATTCAGTACTATTATGGCCAAAATTATCCAAATATTTCTTGGAAAAATATGACTGGCATACTGGCTCCCAGACACCAAGGAGGCTCTGTCTGGAGGGTGGAGAAGGCCCTGCTGCCCCTGTGACTCTGCACTGCTGCTCAGCACTGGTGCCTGAGCTGCAGGAACAGAGGGACTGCTCATATTTGTGCTGCTGTGCCTCCCCAATTCCTGCCAGCCCAGTGGTTAAGCATCTGTACCTTCTGCTGCTTATTTCCCCCAAAGAAATGCAGACATTTGGCTTACTATGACTGCAGGGAGAACAAGTTGGTTGGTACAGGAAGGGACTCACATTTCTCTTGAACAGGGCGCAGGAGATCGAGCGTTTCTTGCAGTGTCCAGACAAGAGAATTGATTGAAACTTTCTCACCCTTGGCAATCATTTCAGGAAGGCATTTTGAATATTTCTATGGATAAAAGGGAGAAAATGTCTAAGTTTAAAAGGAAAAACCTTGGAGCCTTGGAATTGATTAATTAAAGTGGTCACATAATTTTCCTTTTCTTTTTTTTTCTTAATACAAAACAAGAACCATCTGGAAAGTTGTATAGCTTTAAGTAATCCTAATCTCCCCACAATGTTTTGGAAGAAATCTGGCAGCTTTTTTTTTAAATTGTGACTAGATAGGATTTTTTCCATCATATTGAGCTCAAGAAGAGGACTGGTATGGGTTTGGTGGTTTTCTTCCTACATATGAAAACATGCCTTTGTAAACAACTGTATGTACTTTATTCCTCTATAAAACATTGGTTTGTTATGCTTATCTTCTGAATGCTGACACCTTACAGACTCTGTATGTTTGCGTGTGTAAAAAAAAAATCTATTTGTGAATGTGTGCAAACAAAGAAGTTAATGGATTCTCAGCTAGCTATTATTGTTTATATAGCTATACTGTTTATGTTAAAGCCACTTTATATGTATCCAGAGCAAAGCAAAACTGGAAAATAAATCCACGAGGACATTTTTTGGTCTAGCAGTAGCAGGACCAAAGACATGGCAAGGCAAATGACAATGATATTTTTCTGCCCCTGCATGTCCTCCCCTCCCTCCCAGCACGTACTTTGCACGTTGCCAAATCAGTACACGAGTTGTGCTTGCCCAGCCAGCCCAGGCAGAGGTGACAGGAGCCCACCAGCACAAGAGGGGGGTGCAGAGTAGGCCCTGGGGTGGCCAGTGCAGCCAAGCTCTTACCTCAAGACTCTCATTCACATCATCTATGGTTGCACTTTTGCATTCACTTGGACTGGCAAAAGCTCTGATTTCAGTAAAATCTAAAAGACAAGCAGAAACAGGTACTTAGCAATGTAATAATCCTTCCTGACACATCAACAAACCCCAAATACCACATCGTAGTGCTTGTTTAGAGGAATTGTGCCACTATCCTGCAGTCCTAGTCCTGCCTTGTATACCTGAGGTGATCAGGGCTCAAATGTAAATAAGCTGTACAAATATTGATTTATTTGAAGCAGTTAGCAATCTGAACAACATTTGTGGCCAATTGGAGCTGGGTTCCTGAGCAGAGTCCTTCATTTCTGTAAGACAGCCACTAATAATTATTATTAATACTAATTTTTACAAAATTAATTTATAATTTATAATACTAATTATTAATAATACTAATAATTGATAATCATATTCAAGAATGGCAATAACTTACCTGCAAGAAGCAGTGCTGAACTTAGGAAAACCAGTGTTTTCCAGAGTGGGCAGAAGCAGAACAACATTTTTTTCCTGCAGGAGACCAGGGGCTAATTACCTGTTGCTTGTGGTGCCCAGGAGCGAAAGCACTGGAGTCAGGCACAAAGCTGCGTGTCTGTGGGTCACTGGTTGTTTACAGTGGGCCTGGCTCCAAAGCAGAGCTGTGATAAGGGATTAGGGGGATGAACATGTTGCCCTACTTGCCAGGAAGCCCAAGGAGAGCTTGCCAGCAGGGTTTACAGAGGGCAAGGGGTGTTCTCGTTAGGGTACTGAGCCAGATCGGCTTCTCTGCTGCTGCCAACTCCACTGGGAAATTTTCAGATTAACTGGTTTACTGTAAACATGTTTAGTGTATGCACATTCTTGTGTGCTCTTGCTCTCTATCTACCTTCCCATCTGTCTCTGTTTGTCTGTCTCTCTCTCACACACATATTCTCACAGAAGACATAAGAATACCTTACCTACAGGGCTCCACCTCATATCTTATGGTCCAAGAGAAAGCTCAGAACATCAAATGACAACTGATTTGAACCAGGGGAATATACCCTGTATCCTGTAGCATCCAGAATTTAGCTCCTTTTTTTTTTTTTTTCATGGAGCCATGAACCTCGTATGCTTATATCCACTTATGGGAAAAGCTGAATAACTCGCAGAATTGCCATAGAAGTTTGATCATTTACCCTACGCATTTACTAGCAGATTAACCCAATTATCCAGCTACTGCTAACATGATAGGTGTGTGCTGATCCCATCTGTAAAATCCAGTGTTCAGTCATAGCCTTTCATCTGACAGCCTGTCACCCCCCCCCAAACACACACTGCCAAGCCCTGCCTGGCCATCAACCAGCTACAGACACAACCCCCACCCACCGCTCCTCTCCAACAAACCTTTAATGGTTGTTACTGTCACTACCAGAGCAGAACTGTTCATTTTGTCTGCAGGTGGATTTTTTTGTTGAGACATGGGCATTCTGCTTCCGTGTTGTGTTACGCACCACATTTATTTATAAGGCACTTACTTTCTCAGGTTTCTTTTTTTTAAAGTTTTCATTCATTTGCTTCTGTTGGTTGTAGTCTGATATATTACGACCAGATGACCCTGAAGAAGTTAAGCCAACAGCAAGACATCCAGCACATTCACAAAGAAGTGTCTTCTTATGCCATCTCAGGAACATTAGCATAATTAATAAAGTGGAGCAGCCTCTGGCTTGACCAGATAGACTTTGTATTTATGACATACTTGAAAAGAATAAATGGCAGCTTTTCCTTTAGCATTCATCACAGTCAGGCACTCTCCTCCACATCTATTTGGGAGGCACTGTACAAAGACATTTAGTTAGGAGATAAACACGGGGTGGCAGCATTTCTCCAGCGTAGAAGATTTAACAGAAGGCTGGGTAAACCACGAAGTCCCTCTTGGGGGCCATACACAGATAACCCTTGTATTTCAGAATTAAGTTCCACTTGTTGCCTACTGACAAACAAAGCCGGTCACAGAAGATCTCACAGCCTCCAAATTTAAACAAACCTGTGATTAATCCACAGTCCTTTGCGAAAAGTAGTTCACCACAATCTAGGAGAATACAGCACATGGGCACAGAAAAGTCCTTGCCCTCAGCCTGGAGCAATCCAGCCCACGTGGACAGCAGCAACCCTGACCTGTCAGGAGCAGAGGTTGTCACTGGCTCCAGCAGGCGTAACAGGGCACAGTACCCAGCAGTACCCAAACCCCACAGCCAAGTGCTAGCACAGGCAAGGATGTTGCTCGCGGGGCACACACAGTCAGCTAGGGCCCAGCTCTCTGGCCAAATTTTAACCTCATGCTTCGTGTTATGCTGCAGTTATTTCTCTGTGCTTTACTTTATTCCCAAATTACATCCGACACAGAAAGCCATGCAATAAACCTAAAGTTTGGGAGCAAAAATTATGAAAGAATACTGTATAACACCAACCTAAGAGTCACAAATAAGAATACTTATTAACTAAGGTTCTGCTAATCACAAGGACTAAAGAGCAATCACATATGTATTATAAGACAAATTTGTATCACAGTTCCAAAATCTAATTAAAAAATTCAATTATGTTGGTAAACTAAAATCATACAAGAGTATAAGAGGGTGAGTTGAGATGAACCATTACACTGCAATATTAAAAAACCCCAAAACACATAAAAAGAAACCCCTTTACATTCAGGGTAGGAAAAAGCTTTTTATTCTATGATTGTTGTTTCATAGGAGACCACTTATGTTTCAAAAACACAGGTAATTGAAACACAACAATAACAGCACATATACAGTGACGGTGATTTAAATATTACATATAGGATAACATCTTTTACAAAAGAGGCCAAGATAGGGTTGTGTGATATTCAGCCTTCTCCCATCAAAGCAACCCCCAGCTGAATGCAATGCTAACTCCAGTAAGGAAATTGGACCCCAGAATTTCCCATCATCTAATTAGAAGCAAGAGATCTGCTGATCCTTAGTCAGAGTTGGGAAAGTTGTCTTCACCTTTGCCCATCAAAGGTTTGAGGTTCAGCTATTAGTTTGAGTACCTGAGTCACACTTTGTCATTATGAAAAGAACCAAGAGAGCAGCAGTTAAGAGTAAACTGTTTTTTGTTGTCTTATGCCGATTGAAAAAACAGACTCTGTCCATTATATCTTGGATAATAAAAGACACTGAGGGTTAAAAAAAATCAATTTCCAAGAAAATATCCTTTTCTTTCTTTCCATTTAAAATCTAAATTTCCTTTTGTTGAATGCAAAGCTGTCAAATTTGATTTCAGAAGCACCCTCATCATTAGTGGACTTCCTTTCTGTTTTTAAGAGTTGACAGCTAATGTCAAAACACAAGTTTTTTAGGCACTTCCCATGGGAATTCCTTTCTTCCAAAGTGACCATAACAAGCTGTCTTCTGGTAAATGGGTTTTTTCAGATCCAAATCCCTGTGTATATAATAAAAAGAAGAAAAAAATTGTCATATTAAGATGCTTCATGATAACTACTATTAAAATCCTAATGTTGAAAGCCATTTCTCACCCTTAGTCGAACAAGCATATTCTGGAGATGCAAGCATACCAGTGAACGTGTCCAATGGGGACAATAAAAGTGACAACACAACTTAAATGTCAAGTACTTTAGGACTGCAGGCCTTATTATTGTGAGTTATTAATTGTAGGTGAAAACATGAAATAATCTTCAATTAATTTTGTAAAACAAAAACACATCCTTGTTTTCACAGCTAAGTAATATAAAATTCTTGGAATACAGAAGTTGTTTTATTTAAATTCCATATATTATTGAAGGCCAAATGCTGAAAGTATATGCTGCATATGAAACTTGAAAAGTATATCTGTAATCTTAAAATGTATGGCACATGGGGAGAACCATAGAAACTCTCAACTGCAAATACTGACAAAATGACAGAATGAGAGAAAGTCCTCCTGTACTGCATGGAACAATCCCCTGCTGGTACAAGAGGCTTCCTCTTACAGTGTAACAGCTAAAGATTTTGGAAGAAGCCACTTCTAGGATGTGACCACCAGGATATTTTCCTTTTTGTGCGTTTCTATACCTGACAATGACTCCAGGTCGAAGATCAAAGTTTTTGTGTACAATGTCCAGCAGCTCCTTCTCTGTTTTTTGGGAAGTTCCATAAGTGAACAATGAAATGGACAGTGGATGAGCAACCCCAATGGCATAAGAAACCTGTGTGGAAAAAAGGCACCATAGTTAGCCAATAAACACAGCACCTCAGGGAACAGTATGCAGCAGAGGAAAGCATTCATTTTTGAATCTCCTTATGCAAACTAGGGCCTCTCCTTCACTTTTCATATTTGCATAATCTATATTTGCAGGAAAAAAAGAATACTTTGAAAATGCTGAGGTCTCTGGATGACTTTCTTCCCCATTATCCAATCACCCCATGCTCATTCCCATAACAGTAAATGTCAGAGGGTTGAGGGTTCAATAAAAGTCCAGAAAAATGGCCCATAAAACAAAAGCTAAATGAACAGTTCCAGCTTCAAGAAGCTGATACTGGTGACATTGCACTGGTTTTGAACCAAGCACATCAAGTTTTCCTTTCTTCAACCCCAAACCATCATCAAAACCACTTCTACTACGGGGTCCTGTACGATGCGTATTCAAAGTAACTCTGAAAAGGAAATATCTCTTTGAGAAAAGCAGCATTCTTGGCAAACCATACCTGAACCAGGACACGGCGGCAGAGCCCAGCTTTCACCAGAGACTTGGCCACCCAGCGGGCTGCGTACGCGGCCGACCGATCCACCTTCGTGTAGTCCTTGCCCGAAAAGGCACCACCTCCGTGTGCTCCCCAGCCACCGTAAGTATCCACTATGATCTTCCGCCCAGTAACACCAGCATCACCCTAAATCAGCAAAACAATTTGTCCGTTTTACAGTTTGTTCTATTGTAAGTCTCAAACCAGGCTATGCTTTCCTTCGGAAGACTGCAACAATGTGTAAGGTAGCTGTGGGGTAGCTGAAGGAATGAACCTGTCTCACCAAGCTACAACAGTGGCTATAATTGTTCTTTAAAGCCAGATTCACAAGACAAGCCATTCACCAATTTGTCTGGTAACCAAGCAAACAGGTTTACACACAGATAACTGGAGTATGCACTGCCTGGTTTAAAAGTGAATATTCCTGGCAATATGGAAACTTTAGTTTAGAAATGATGTACCTATGATACCCAAACCAATTACAGAATATTGCTAAAAAACTATGTGCCGTATAGGAACCATTGAGAGATTTCACACTCTTAAAAAAAAATGAATAAAACAAAAAACCACAAAAAACCCCCAAACCCCCAAAAAGTCCCACAGCAAAAAAATCAGACTTTCATATATTTTGGTCAAAATCTGAAGTTGTGTAAATATTAAATAGTAATTTTTTTTATTATTATTTTATTTATCAAAAGGTATGCCAGTGGTACCTTATACATCATTATATGGGTGCTGGCACCCAGCACTTCCAGTGCAGCGTCAGAGACTGTCATACAAATATGTACTAAAAAACACATTTCCAACCTCAAAGTATTTATAGTATAATTTAAACTGTACACAACAGCTATGGAGTACTAGGCAGTAATAAGTAACTGAGAAGGAAGGATTACTTCTTTCTAAGAACAGATACTTATAGATGAATATTCTAAAATATTAAATAAGGAGGTGTAGATAACCTTCTAGCTGCCTATACACCTATCCTGACTTCTTCTTACAAGAACTTCATATTTTCATTTGATCTGGGTTAGCTGATCAAGAGCTGACTAATTGTCTGACCCCTGCACTTTACTAAATCTTTAAGATTTTGGTGTGAATGGAAATGTGTCCAAATTTGAAATTCAGTCTCCACCTGTGCAGGCAGATTTGAAATTCTTTGTCTCAAAACATCATGTTACTAAAATTCAACTGCTGGAATGTTTGCACGGCAAACACACGTGGAGAGTCAACGTTTTTCTTAGGAAGACTATGCATATACACAGAAGAAAACCTTTGGCACTGTTTGTTTCATTCTGCTAAGAAAGGAGCAAGATGTAAATTTTCAGATAATTTAGGCTGCCTAAAGGAACCTGTCCTCGGGTTCTTCTGCTTGACTCATCCTTAATTTTTGATGGCACAGACAGTTGCAATGAGAACACCTTTTGTACCTTCATGACTTGACAGCAGAACAGAGTGAGAGGGAGAGAAATAAATGAACACGTGAAAAGGTGTTTCAAAGGTGCTGAACAAGCACAAATGCATCTGTAAAGCATGTGGAAGTCATTATTGTGATGAGCTGTAATGTCCTCACCACACCAGAAGGTTTTGCTGTTGGGAAAACAGTGACAGCAGCAAAACTAACGATTTTGCCATAGCCAGAACTCAAGGCACCACTGCACTCAAAAACATAAGTGAAATACGTGTGCCTTCCTTAGATGAACTCAGCTGGAGGTTAAGGCAGCTTTCTACAGCTAGCCTTGTTAAAAATATAACTGAGTAACCAGAAGGTACAAGATATTCAAGGCAAGAAAATAAATAGTTATTTTCTGGTTGCTGCAATGCTATTGTAAATTGCACAAGTGCTGATAGCAGTTGTAAGGTCACGGACACATAGGCTGGTTGACCCATACTAAGTAAACTTAGCCCAGGTTTAAAAAGCTGTAAACAGACACTTTGACATGCCTCTGTTTGTATGTGCAAACATATGCAATAGAGTTCTAGCACAGGAGTAGAAAGGGTATTCCTGGGTGAGTTATCATATGTAATTATATTACATTTTTAAATGGATGCAGTTCAGTACACATCTGAAAGATTTACATTTTTAATGGTGCAGGTTACCGCACACATAAAAAATTTCATATATGTAGCCTTCTTTTTGTATGTAGCTGTGATTGCTGCATTGATTCCTTCACTTCAAGTTATGGCTCAAGTTTGACTCTCCATTTGTTCATAGTCTAAGATGTGAATGATACACAAAAGTACAGTGATACAACCAATTCAACTGCACAAAAATACATTTTTTTTATAGGAACATTATTATAATGACTAATCTCAACCCCCTCCTACCTGTTACGTGGTACTAAAGTAAAAAAGACACAGCACCTTAGAAATAATTCTGGCAAATTCCAGTAAGTGAATGAATTTAAATAACAAAGGAAAAACGGTGTCTACTTGGATTTATTGTAAAATTGAACCTAATCTCAGGAAGGAGCTCTGAAATTTTCTATGGTTGTTCTGAAAGGATCTGAAGACTAAAATATTTTTTCAAAAACTAAATCTCAGAGAGTGGGAGTTCTGCCTGACTTCTGTGAGTGCAGGATCAAATTATAAATCCCAGCTCCTACATTGCCTAAATAAAGTAAAAGGAACATTTATTTTCTCACCAGAAGAAGCCTATTGGGGCTGATTTTCAGGACAGATGAACACCTTCAGCTCTTACTGGTGTCAGGCAGAAGAGTGAGAGCTATGCAGATCTGAAAATCAGGTTCACTGTAAGACAAGCAAACTTTCTCTTGTCCATCTCTCTGTAAGAAATGCTTTTGATGAGAAAGGACTATGTGTCTCAGTGATGGTCTCAAGGGGGTTTGAGGAAACTCAGAGCTGGGCTGTACATTCCACATGCAATGTAAGATTCAACTCAACCTGCCTGCCTAGTCACAGCACATGTACAGTATAACCATGCTGCCAAAGGTTATTTTGGCATGAAATCCTGAGCCCTTCTCCCACATACAACTGCAGGAAAAACTTGCATTAAGCAGCTTTCACCTTACGGCTGAGGACAGACATGCCAAAAAACTGAGCATTTAAGACACAGAGTGAAAGGCAAGCTCATAGGAGCACCAAAACAACACAAGACAAACCTGAGGCCCTCCAATAACAAAACGGCCACTAGGCTGAAGGTGATAAACAGTATTCTCATCCAAGTATTTTGCAGGGACAACATCTTGGATCACACGTTCCTTCAGGGTTCTGCGCATGTTCTCCAGCGAAATGGTTTCATCGTGCTGCACAGATATCACGATGGTGTGCACACGCACTGGGATCACTGCTCCATTCTTCTGGGTATACTGAACTGTGACCTGAATGGAACAGGGAGAAGGAGGAAGAAAACACCAAAATTGCCATAAAATGTATTACTGATATTCGTCAAATGCCATGCACACTATTACAAAAGTAAAACTATAGCAAAATGTCAATGCTGTCATACATTATAGTGATTACTGTTCACATTGTTGCCAGCGTATGAGAAATAAAGCCTATTTTCTCATCTCATATTTTCTATCCTAAGGAAGAAAATAGAAAATAAAACAAAACAAAACAAAAAAACCTCATCTAGTAGACCATCTGATTCTCTATGAAATCATCCAAAATGTGTCTTTTGGTTGGGATTTCCATCAAAACTTCCAAGCCTTAGAAATTTACATTCTCGTTGCATCTTGAAAATGTCACCCCAAATCCCTAAATATAAATAAATCCTTTGGATGTCCTGTCACTTTTTCAATGAGCACAAACCACTTAGGTCTGAGGGGTTAAATGTCTCTTCACTGGTAGGTGGTTAAGGGCTCTGATACAAGTTAACCACTTTCCAACAGTCAAGGAGACAGTATCATAAGCAGAGAAAAAGCTTTATCTCTTACTTGTAGGTTATCCTGATAGACTTAACAGCTTTTCTTTCCAGAAATATTAAATAGTTTTGAAGACAGCAATTTATGTGCTCAGTTTTCAACTATCTAGACAACCATAGCAGCATTTACCTGTGTCTTAGAGTCAGGTCTCAGCCAAGGAAGTTCTCCATTACGCCTCAGCTCTGCTAACCTGGCATTCAGTTTATGAGCTAGAATAATTGTTAGAGGCATACATTCTTCTGTCTCATCAGTTGCATAACCAAACATCAAACCCTACAGGGGGAGAAAATTTACTTCAATCACTGTTAATGGCACCACAACCAAAGACAATGAGATTTCATCTGAAGCAAAGAGTAAACAGTACCTTCAGGTTTACTCTCTACTGTTTTACATTACAGTGCAAGAAATCTAAACTCAGGTCAGGCTCCAACATGTTACAGTGTAATGAGAAACAAACCATGTTCCTAGATTTTTCGACTGAAAGCCTGAAGGATTACATGTTGAACTGGAAACCTGGACAAAAATGGAGATGTTTCTGTGAAAAAAAAAAACCACCAGATTCTTTCACAGAAAAAAAAAATCTGCTGGAGAAAAAGGTTAAGGACTATTTTGTCATAGGAAAGATGCTATCAGTAGTCTGAAAAGGTTGCAGAGGTTTTTGTGTATGAGTACAGACACACACACTGCAGGTCGCACCTGAAATGACAGTGGAATAGGATGTGAGCACTCCATGAAGGACACACCATTCACCAGTTTAAGGCACCTGCCTCAGATTTTTCAGTACCGTATGCTTCTAGTCACAGCTGCTACTAGTATTCACTCATGTTCCCTGCACCAGATTATAATTTGTTAAATAGAGTTAGGAGCATTTCCTTTTATCTCATGCAGTGTATGTCGTGGGGAAAAAAAAAAAAAAAAAAAAAAAAGACAAGAATGTACTTTGATGGGAATGGGAAGGGAGGCCTCCAAAGTGCCAAAGAAAGTCAAAGTGCCCAAGAAGATATCTTTTCATCTTATGTAGTATTATGACTCCATGACAGTATAAAAGCATTTTAATTTAGCCCTTAAGGGATTTTTTAACAATATTAGTTTGCCTCCTGTACTCTGATACTTCACTTACAGTTTTCAGCAGCATTGTTATAAACTAGATATTACTTCAAATGATAACTACTGTAAATGCTGAACTCACTCATACTGGCATCAGTCAGATTATGGAGTTTTTGTGTTGGTATCTCTCTCTTGAGAATATACCATAATTATCTATATTACCTATTTAGCTCATAGAAATGCAGTTCAGACAGCCTTAATTATGTGGAACACCTATTACAATATCTGCCTCTGGGAAATAAGTGAAAATTAAAAGCACTCTGGCATTCTTTGTACTAATGTTGAGGACAGTTGAAACATCACCTAATTTTTGGATGTGCAAAATCTCAAAAGCTCTGTGAAAGTGAAAAGATCTTTTGTTTATTCCACCTTACATGACAAGTCTGGTTGCAAGATGAGTGGACTGATGAACCTAAATCTACTCAGCAAAAACATGAAATATGTAAGCAAAAAAACTTTTGCTAAGTTCTAAAGGGCACCTCCTCAGCTACTACCTACTGCCAGAGCTCTCCTTGCTTGAATGGAGTGCTAAAACAAGCACCAGGAAAAGTCTGCTCTCAAAGAACTTTAAACTGTTTAGTAAAAATATGGTTTTTATTCCGGGGTAGCCCAAGATAGAAGTGTGGAAATATTTTGACAAGGGTTTTGACACAGAAAATAGGGCAGTAAGATGAGGTAATTTTTTTTATTAAAACATCTTTGATGCTTTATCTACCTGATCTCCAGCACCAACATCCTCTTCGTTCCTGTGTAGATGAACACCTTGGGCAATATCAGGTGACTGCTGTTCCAGTGCCACTAAAACATTACAAGTCTTGTAGTCAAAGCCTATTTGGAAAAAAGAACAGCAATGAATTAACTTTTTCTGTCACAATTAGGGAAAGTAACATGGAATCATATGACAAAATTTTCATTTTATATAGGATACCACGTTCAGAACTCAAAATCTTTCCACTGTTTTTAGTAATTACTTTGTAAATACCACACTTAAAACTTTTTTAGGATGGTGTGGGGTATACAGGGTTGCCTTTATTGCTTGTTACTGCTTATTTTCTCCTGCACTGGCTCCCTGTGCCCAGCCAATTCAGATTACGAATTGTCAACTTAGAAAATTAGACAAAAAGGTAAATAATGAGCCTCTCCCAAATAAATAGTAATAAAACCTTATACATAAATTCCTAGAGGCCTATGTTTTCAGCAACTGAATTCTCTGCTCTCTAACACATTATTTGTAATACATGTAAGGTAGTGTCTGTATCTAAATCTCTCACAGGACTTTGTGTTAACCACAAAAAGAGGAAAAAAAACCAGATTCAAGTGTCACAGCAAATCTTGAAGTGGGAATTTACATGACTTTCAAAGACCAAAAGTAAGGTTTTAAAAAGAAATTGAAAGAAGATTGTGCCAAAATTTTCCACCTGTTCCTAGGTATATTAATAATAACTTGTTTCTCTCCAAATTCGACCTTTCCTAGAACTGTACCCACTGACAGCTGCTGACCAAACTCATGTTCAGTCAGTACAACATATATACATGTCCATGTGCATATGATCCACTTGAATGCTCTTCACCCTCTTTTAAGTAGGTTATGTAGAGAAGAAAATTGTATCTTCGTATAAAATTGTTTGGTTTAGGTTTTGTTTTACTTCTAGAAATTGGTTTTTACTGGGTCACTGCATCTCCCCTCATAATTTTGGGCAGTTAGATAAACAGGAGATTTATGACCTACTAGGTTTGCCAGTGTTCTCTGTAAGCACTGCTGTTATATGACAGTGGAGGCAACCTGCAGATGTGCTGCTATAATATTCTCCCACCACAATCTCCCTGCAAATTCAACAGCAATTAAAGGACTGCAGTAAACAACTTTTTAACCAAAAGCTCTTAAAAGAAACACTTCACTGTAACAGAATACTTGGAATATTTATACTGTATAAGCGACACATGCAAATCAGAAACTGAAATGTGTTTGGTACATAGAGCATTTTGTCTTTTTAATCATTTGCACATCACACAAACTAGGTCTGCACTGCACCCCCCTCATTGTAGAAGTAGTTATTCAGAGCACCCTCCACACTGAGAACCAGCTTCACACCTGGAATTCCAGATGGTACCACCGTAAAAGAATATAAAGGTACAATGAAATGAATTAGGTTTCTTCTCTCTCTTTCAAAACAAGATGCATCAATCTGCTTGGCAAATGAAAAACCAAGAGTCAAGTTCTTGCAAGTTTGGAGGAGTAGTAAGTTCTGTGGCTCAAGCTGCAGTTAACTATTCTGGTTTAATACCACAGTTCAAAGTATAGTCTGTCTATTCCCAATTCAGTTTTAACTAATAAGTGGCAGTTTCTTTCTTACTGGGATAAAGCCAGAAAGTGTATCATGTAGCACCATGTAAGCAACTGTCAAACAGTATATTGCGTTTTTATCAGGCTTGCTAAAGCCCATGTATGGAATTGGTGACAGACCTGTTTTGCAGTTGCCTATTGCTTGCTCTGCCAGGATTTCATGAGTTTTTCCACCAACCTTTAGCTGAATCATCATAGCCAATATGTCTAATTGCATCTCGGACAACTCGCTGATAATCCACAATAGCACGAGATGTGATCTCCCCACAGAGTAACACCATTCCTGTCTTACATACTGTCTCTGAAAAGAGAGATGAAAACAGGATTACAATAGCAGAATAAGCCAGCCTACTAAGAAAAATAACTGTGTTTGCAACAATGGTGATTTTGAGAGATCTGTTGGGTGTATACAGTGTAAATCCTTTCTACCCATATTTTTAGCATTATTATCTCCTATAAGAAATTAATTTCATATTCACCATGTGCCTGAAAGTAAGAAAAAGACTAACATATCCCATTTACAAATGGGAAAGTCAAAACATGAGCATGATTCAGTGATATGCATCAACTTAAGAGAAATTTAGCATTAAACCATGATTTTTAAATCCACTTAAGCAGCATAAGGTATATACTAAGGCCAAATAAAACTAATCAGTGATCAACTATTTTGAAAACTTGCCTCCAGTCCCAGAAGGAAGAATTTGAAGATGGGATTTAGTTACACAATAAATTAACTGTAGTAATAACCTGAGATTTGATGGTACAACTTCTAAGTAGATTTCAAAAAACAAGCAAGAACTTGGACTGAAAAAATAGTACTTTATTAAATACAGTAAATGAACTTTTCAACAAAACATTCAAATATTCTTTCAAAAATCCACTCTAGTCAATCCAAATCTGTTTCTCCCAGGACAATTCAGTCCACACACAAAATCAAAAGCCCTATTCTTCTACAGCTCACTTAGGCTTCAACCTTCATGAAAAGTTTTACTGTTTCTTCTCATCTCTCCTTCTCTTCAAGACTGAAATTCTTATGTCATTTTTTGAGAGTGAAATGAGCTAGCTCTTTTCAACACTCTAAAAGAAGAATGTATGATGACTTGAAGCAAAGTAGCAAACAACTTACCACAAGCAACCTTGGCATTTGGGTCCTGTCTGAGGTGGGCGTCTAGTACAGCATCGCTGATTTGATCACAGATTTTATCTGCAAGACATCAAAGCTGTGATTCAAAACCACAGCACTCAATACAAACCATGGACTGCTTGCCCCACTTAGAGTAGGTATTTCAGAAAGGAATTCTTTTATTGCTTATTACTGGCATATTTAATCCAGCTAAATAGAAAGACACATGAAACATCCTGCAAACAAACTCCGTAGATACAGTGGGGAATTTACTTACTGGTGTAAACTAACAGTGACTATAACTTTACCTGTAGTTTTTTGCAATTAGGTGTGAAACAATGAACAGAGAATGAGGTTTTCCTCCCAGCCTTCTCCTTCTCTAACACCACAAGCCAATACAGCATACCCTCCACACCAGGGATATTCTAACAGAACAGTGATGTTTCACCACCAACTTCCACTGCCCTAGCAGAAAGTTAGAATGCACCTGACCAACCCTGTAGGTAAAGCCTAAGAAAGTATTTAGATTAATACACATAATGCACAGGTCAGTGGAGAGCCTGTTTAAGGTTTGCTTTTTGTCACTGCTTCCTACCATCCAGCAATGTTGCTCCCTAAAAACGCCTGCACCCAAAGCAGTGGAGGGAGCACACACAGAAGCAAGAAGGGTTTATCAACTGAAGTTTGCCTGAGGTAAATCTTTAGTTACCTGCCAAGTACAAAGGTTTCCATTTAGGTTTATCATAATAATCTTTTATCTTTTTCTTCCTTAGAATCTTATTTAAATAATGTAGCTAATCTGATGAACACAAAAGGGCAGCACTCACAGCAATGCCTTCTACATGAAAATAGTAAATTTTCTCATATAATTTAATTGGATCATTCTTAAAAAAAAAAAGTCTAGTATTGCATACTGTGTTTAGACTTCACCATAACGTGCTGTGTGGCAAAATAAATTAATCTCCTACTGTGCCCTGTGCAACACAATCTGTTGGAAAGCAATTTTTTGTAAGAGTTTGTCATTAGAGGCCTTTAATACACTTAACCTCAAATCAAAGCAAATTCTCATATATTTTCAGGAAGATGGTGTAGATTTAGCTAAGAGGGACAAATAAAAGACTAGAGAACTAATATGCTTCTGACACTCTTGTCTCCCATATTAACTACTTCTACACAAAAAGAAGGAACATGAAAGACAATTAACAGATGTCAGCTGCATTGGAACTTTCAGCCTTACAAGAACTGTACACGGATTACTAAATTTGGGACAATTATTACCAAAAAGCAATCAGACACCATTCTTGCAGTTTAATCAGATGTCCAATTGAACCTTGTTTAGTAAACCTGGGGACAAAGGTGGTAGGAGTGATTTAAATGTATCTCTGCTTGATCTCGTCAAATTTCTCAGATTTATAAGGAAATACAGCCATATTTTCAAGCATAAAAGCAAAAATTATTGATGAAAATATGTAATTTTTGATTACCTGGGTAAGACAACAAAACAAATGGGGTTAGAATGGCCCTCCTAGTGCAGGTCCACTGCCTGTAGTAAAGTCCAAGTGGCTGGGACTGTTTTTTAGTCTTTTTTTAACCACCCAGAATTCCTATGCCATGAACACCTTTATCCCTGTCCTTGCTCCACATGAAGCATGCCAGCTGGTACAAAGAACCTTATGTTGGTTTTGCATGCTGTGGTTGAAATTAATTAATGAACTATAACTACCATGAAACTTCTTAAGGGACCAGGAGCCATAACAGCCAGTGAAATCAATGTGAAGATTTAACAAAATGCTTTCATGAGGTTGGTTGTTGTTTTGGGTTTTTTTGGGGTTTTTTTTTAAATTAACTGTATCATTAGGATCTACAGCATTTCATGGATATCGAAAGTAGCTCTTTTGCTTCCTTCTCAGAGAAATAGACCAGCAAACACTCCTGAACAAAAAGTATAGTCCACATTTACAGAAGGAGAGAGTTTGTTTTACAAAACTGCTACTGTCAAAAGATTGTGATAGAACCCAGAGGGACAGTCATCCATAGAAATGACATTATATCCATACAACAGTATTAGACTGCTACAGAAATACTAAATTTTGGAGCTGGTATTCCAAAGATGAAGTTAAGAAACTGTGGGAAAGTTTAAGCCAGACTGAGAAGGATGCCCTAAATGAGAAAAGTCTACCTTACAGGATTAAATCAAACAAACTCAATCTAGTTTTGAAAGACTGAAGGAGAGGTAACCTACCAGAGGAAATCCCTACAGGCACTGGGATCACAGTCTCTAAGAACCCAAAAATACTATGCTGAGAGAAAAGTTTTTTTCTGATGGGCAATAATGTAACTACAGTTGATAAATGAAAATAAAAAGAGACAGATAAAGATTCAAAAATCAAAATCTTAAAAGTGTGAAAGCCACTGAAACCATTAATCTAGAGGCACTCAGGATTCCCTGTTCCTTCAAATCACCACATGAAAATTAGATATAATTTTAAAAGGTATAAATGAAATTCAACCATCATTTACTAGCTTGTCTGATGAATTCTTACATGAAATAATATTACCTGTGTATGAAGGTCAGACTAGACTATATATTGGAGGTCACTTCTGGCCTTTAAAATCTATGTGAGAATCTAATCAATGAAAATAATAAATTAGAATAATTTAGTGTACCATGCAGGGAATGTACCTTTAGATTAAAATAGTCTGAGGTAAATCAGTTCGATAACTCATGACATAACTGATTGTTGGTGCAACAACCAGCAGATCTAGTGCAACTAGATTTCCAAATACAGATACAGATGTATCTATCAAGACTGGAAAGAGAAATCTAGCTGGATGATTGGTTGATTAATGCATTAAAATAAAGACATGTCTATTAGCAAAGGTCTTGGGTGTAAAATAAAACCAGGTATTCTATTTTTAGTAACGCTTAGCAGGCTTTGTGCACCTTTCATTCTGTTATTCAAATTTCTCATCTCAACCATCTCATTTCTCTTATTAGTTGCTAAATATGAGAGGATGTGCTTCCTTCTTTCTTTTTTTTTTTTCCTTTCCTTTTGGAAACAGGGAAAGTATAATGGACCACCTCTGCTGAGACATTATAATTTTTAAAAGGTGCTTTCAGAGGTCAGAATTCAGTTCATGCATCCTTCCATGTAGTGAATTACTATCCAATAGGGTAACTACTGCAAAAGAGATGTCTAAGCTAAGGATTTCTTGACTGAGCACAAAAGTATTAGATGACCATGAGTTCTTTTCATGAAATCAAATCATCCCACAGACTTATCCTTATGGCAGAGATGCCAAATAGCCATGAAACAACTCTTGCTAACTAAAAAATTAGTTTAGGGAGACCAATGATAAGACCAGCCCTCAAAAGTCCAGTGGTCATATTATGAAGTAAAGGAGTAAACAACAAAAGCGATCTCCAATAAATAGAAGGAGCTTCACAGATCCCAGATAGTAAGACATAAATATTCTAGATTCATGTAAAAAACTTAAGAGCCTAACAGAAGTTCTCAGGACCTTCCCAGGAAGTTTCTCAGATTCATCATGCACAGAAAAAAAACTATGAAGAGCAGTAAAACCTGAAAATTTAATTTTAAAAAGCTCCATTTTTTGAAGTTCAACAAACAGGTGCAACCACACTTCTAACTTCTATGGTGTAGTAAATATAATAAACACTGAACATTTGAAATGGTAAGTTTGACTTTCTTCAAATCCTGTGATTATTAAAATAAAATTCAGTATTTTTAATAGTATTTTATTTATATCAACAGAAAAAAAAAAGATTATTTTAAACTAGAATGTGAAATTTTATATTCAAAATATGAAAAACTGAGCAATTCTCAGTTTTCTGGTAAAAAAACCAGTGAAGAAATGCAGATACTTATCACGAGCATTTCATCAAAAAATGAGCTTTCCACCAAAAAAGTTTCACTAGAAAGACTTCAAATAGCTTAATTATGCAGTACATTTTTCCTCTTTAAAAGACTCTTGAGGAGTGCTAGTTGATAGCTGCAGTGATATTGCACTATTAACACTGTTTAAATATCTTGTACATCTGTTCAATGGACAGTTTACTGAAGTATCATGTATATCATTAAGTATATATAATCTTAAATATAAGACATGCAAGCATCAACTTGCTGGAAAGATCTGCATTTTCTGGTTTGTTTTTCTTCTTTTGTGATTTTTTTTTCCCCCTGTGAATATCTAGGAGATAAACATATGCTTTTAATATGGTTGAAAATCTGAGGGTGCTTTTAGCAGATGTTTGCTCTTATATTTTTAAAGATTCCTTGATACTTTCTGGAAAACTGAACGACATTTAGTTTGCAGGAAATTCCACCTGAAGTCACACCAAATAGGGGAAGGAATTATTCCTAAGTGGTTTGACATCTGTAAGACATTGTGGGGTAGAGAAACACACAATGCCTTTCAAAGCACCGTGAAACCATTGTGTAGCACAGACACGACTGGACTAAGAAAAATGGAGCAGTGACAAAAAACAACTAACTAAATACAGAATCTTTCCCTTGCTCATGCTACTGTCTGTGTGCTTTTATTATTCTATTGAAATGCAGATCTCTTCAGAGAATTTGGAATTTACCCCACTAAATGACTAAATGATTAAAGATCTGAAAGGGATTCCCAAATGTTACACCCAAGAATCTGGACTGAGAAGATGGGATAAAGTCTCCTATAATATCTTTGGGGAGCAGAGGTAATACCTGTATGTCAATTACTGGCAGCTATTACTTTCTTCCATGGAATTTGGGCTTCTCAGTGACACCCAGCTCCAGGCATTGTACAGGTATAAGGCAGTTCTTTGTATGAAATAAATAAGCATGTAATTTCTCCTGCTTTGTGCATTAAGGAGGCCTCCATTAAAGCATTCAGTCCTCAGCTAATATAATCAGAACAATTCAAATTTCCACCAGACAAAGATGCGGTTCAGGATCTTTACCTCACATAATGCCCTCTAGCAAAATTATACTATCAGATACGGAAGAGAAATAATCAAGAACACGCAAATTATCCATTTTGTATAAACAGAGGAAATCAAAACTCACAATAAAATTCTGTTGCTACAGATAACGTCAGAAGCCCAACTACAGCCCCAGGCACTGGGCCCCATTTTAAGAAATAACCAAGATTTTCCTGGGTGATAAAATCCTAGCGGTATGTCTACACCTCTTGTGCAAAACCAGAGAAGGAAAAGGGGGAGTTGGTCAGGATGTAAGGGAGACCAATTTGCTGTCAGGAACTAAGAGCTACAGCTGAGATAATTAAGCTCCCTTGCTGGGTTATGTTCATAGTTACTTACAGCCAACCTGTCCTCCTTTGATCTGGAAAATCTGTATCTTCCCTTTGCCATAGGCTTTGGGTTTTCAGTACCCTACATGGAGATCTAGGCTGTTTAAGAAAGTACAAGCATCGCAGTCTTGAAAACATCCAAGTAATTTTCCATCTTCTTCTCACTCCACAATGAATCTCCCAAGTGGTCACTTCGCATCTCAGAGTACCCAGAGACCCACCAGGGTAAGAGGCTGTACACACATCAGACAAGTGGTAACAGTGTTTCTCAAGGGCCTGCCCAATGTTAACACAGGAGAAAAATAATGTTCATGGGCCTTAAAGAAAGCTACTGAGGGCCTATAGAGTGTTTGGAAATAAAGAAGAGAATGTGAAGAAGAACTGAAAAATAGGCCAAATTCTAAAACAAGAAACAGGATAAAAAGAGAACCAGTAAAGGAAAGAAATCAAGGGACAAAGCTAAACCTGGGGACTCAGTTGAACTCTTTCTGCTTCGAGAGTTCCCTATTATTGCCCCAAGGGGATTAAAAATAATGATTAGAGTAGCATAAATTATGACCTGTCATCTTTGGAAATACCATCATCCATTTAAAATTACCATATTGTATAATGTTATTTTTCCTATGAAACTACATAGCACTACAGACATTGGATGTAATTATATATAAATTTGAGATGGGACCTATGTCCCAAGGACAAAACCTGGCTGTCATTTTCTGATTGTGTTACATCAGAAAGAACCCCAACTGGTTCAACCTGATGTAGCTGCCTCCCCATTGATGGAGACATACTCAATTGCATCAGCCTTGGATTTCATCTGCAGTAATAAGTTCATATCATAGGAGTATCAGAACCATAGACACAAATTCTCATTGCCGACCTTTTTATCCTCTAGGATGTCATTCCACCCATTTATGAGTTACTCACATAACATAAAACACAGACCTGAAAAAGCCTTATTATAGCAAAAAGTACAGGCCACCAAATTGGCTTCTAAAACAAATACACTTTTCAGGACATCAAATAGCCTATTGTCCCCTGGCCTCACTTGAGGGAACAGTTGCTGTTGACATAAGGTACATGTTTATGGTGGATGAATATTTGTTTTCAATAAAATTGAACTAATCTCTGCTGACCATACATAAAGTTTAGCAAATAACTGTCCACTATTTGCTTAAGCAATTCCATATATTGCATCAGATGATGGAAAGGGGCGGGAGGCAGTGGGGTTGGAAATCAGCGATTTTGCCCTGTACAGCTGCTGGAACCACTAAAAAACGGCTTTAAAACAGGCTGCTCAGGGATATTCCAGTCGTGGGGTGACAGTTTTAGAGCATTGCATATGTGGAGGACAGTTTCACAGGGCCCATAAAGATACAGAACTTGAGAAGTAAGCTATGCATTCTTATCCATATGTGAAACTTGAGTCTGTCAGAGACACAGTAGTGTCTCCACAGGAATACTGAAAGAAATTCAGATGAAAAGGAAGGAGCAGCAACATAAACCTCAGTGCTCTCCTCAGTTTAACACACACCCTGCAAAAGCACGTAAACTGTTGGAAGCACACTAGTTATAGCAGTTCCGTAGTCGAGTAAGTAGAAAATAAGTAAAAAGCACTCTGCTACATATAACTTCTATAATAAGAGTAATAGCAGATAAATTCTTCTTCAGACTTTTTTAAAGGTTCATCTTAAATGAAAATATTATTCTTTTTACACTTTTACCAGAGCTGGTTTCTTACCTGGATGTCCTTCTCCCACTGACTCTGACGTGAACATGAAAGCCCCTTCATCATCCAGCGTGTAATCACATAAACCATCCACTGGTCCATTCATGGTTGTGATGCTTTCCTTGATGAATTACTATGAACAGTGGTTGAAGAGTTCTACCTTTAGTGCCTCCTCTTTAAGGAGAAGGTTCTTTATCAGCAGGACTATCAGTGTCTTCACTTGTTACCTCTTTCTCTAACTTGAATTTCAGTGTGTGAAAGCAGCATATGCTTGCATCTGTGCATGCATACAAGAACGCATGTGCCTGAAGTCTGTATCCCTACCTAGCCTGATCTGTCAGTCCCTGAGCTGCTCCTATATATGGAAAAGTGAAAGTGCCTAGATAATCATGTGAGGAAAATGGAAGAGCCCATTTCTTGGCAGGGGAGTTAGTTAACTTTAGGATATTTCACTAATTAACTCAGTTCTTGGAAACTTTCTGGATTCAACCTGTGCAAGATTGGTTATCTTAGCAATTTAACCGAGTACGAAGTAATGCAGGAGTACTAGTGACAGCTCAGGGCAGCTGCTTCTTCAGTTTGTCTCTCCCCTAATTCTGGGATCTATGTTGTGCTTCCAGCTGTGTGTTGAGGTTTTACAGGATAGATACAAACTCTGTAAATACATGTCTTTCCTAACAAAAGACTGGAAGAAGTTTGCTCTGTGTCATGTAACTGTATTTTCTTTTTACTTTTACATCTCTAGAAAAGTAGAATTCCCTCCTTAAATATTTCTTTTTCATTTTCATTCATTCTTCATGCACATTTGAGAGACAAAACATCTGATAAGATCTAGCACGTCGGCTGCTTCTCATTTACGCAGACCTCTCCCTTCAGCCTTTGTTTTTCTTTTCCCGTCCTCTATTAATCAAGATCCATTTCAATTATATTTTTATATCATATTCTCATACTATATTCCATCACCCTTAGAAATATAGTAACTGCCACATCTGAGCACTCACTGATCAGTTCTGCTATGGAAAATTATTTGTCAGATGGCTCACGTCTGGAATATGCTGATGGTATGCCAGGTATGAAGACAGATGGCATTTTGTGGGTATTTGTGTCTTTAAGTTACTATATAACAAACAAGTAAACATAGTGTACCATTATAAATAAGTGTAATTACCCTTAATTCTTTTAGAAGAACCATTATAATCTCAATTTCAGACCAAAGCACAGGTCTATCAAAATAAAAATTTCTCTTTACTTCAATGCACTCTGAATCATACTCTCTTAATCATTCAAAGTGTTCCTGGTACTTGGATTGGAATGTGTTCCATAGCCTTTGCCATTTTGACAGCAATGAAACCCTTACCACTCTTCAGTTTAAAAACCTACTTAGTTTACTTCAAACCCTTGATTATTTTCAAAAATCCCTTTATGTGGTTTCTTGGATTCAAATTTCTGCATTGTTACATAGTTATGTAAGAATTCATTAGAATTTTCACTTTCTACCTACATTCCTGAAAACAATAACCAGTGCCTGTGAATGTTCACCAGTAATCTGCTGCAGCATTGGCCCCTCTCTAGTTATAATTGACGTGAAATCGTTCATTTCAAATACTTTTTCTTGATTTTCCATTGTAGACAATTTGTCTCATGGAATAATGAGCACTGGTTGCACTTAAAAACATGGACAATGCACACATCAGATACACATTATGAGGGACAGTTTTCCTTTCAGTAAACTGTCATCACTTCACTGACATGAAGATACTATCCCAGCCTGAATAAATTACGCATTAACACACCCAGAAAAAGAATAACTAACTATATTAACCCTAGTTAATGGGTAACATTCAAAGACTATATTACCTTTTGAAGTGATAAACATTCATTCTTAAATACAAATGTTTTGTTGTTTATTTTTCTTATGGAAGCACCAAAAGACAATGCAAATGGATGAAACAACACTAACAAAACCCCTTTTTGTACATGTTAAGAGTTTTCTTTCTAATTCTACAAACAATGATCCAGTAAAGGTAGACAAGATCAAATATTGTCAGTCTGTGAGTTCCACTCTCTCTTGCTTCTGGGTTTGCTCTTTCTTGGTTTTCAATGCCACTTAAGGAAAGAAACTGTAGTTTGGGAATCAGCATTCATGTTTTGAAGGTAACACTCAAGCAGAATGCAGAAGCAGGCCTCTCTTATCACATATAAAAATAAAAAACCCCACAAGCTCCTAAAATGATGACGAACAGAAGTAATTTGACATATACAAGGAATGAATTTGCAGGACCACTGTTTATTTTGCTTTTACAGTTCCTCTTTCTTGACTCACTTCTGTGTAGTTAAATGCATTGGTCCTTGAGACCTTTGGAGGTCACCCCTTCATTGAAACATCCTCTCTGGTACTAGTACTCTAGAAACGTTGCACAGCTGCATTTCACATTAACTTGTGTATTAACTTCAAACTCCAGTTTGAACTTCTTCCAGCTGTGGTTTTACTATCAAGAGTAACACATTTGCTTTGTGGCCATGAAGCACCTCGGCGTGTTCTCTTCTAGGACATCTGTGACCAGTGCTAAAGCACTGTAGGGTTAGGTAATATTTAATTTGGCTTTTCTTCTCAGACAATGTGGCGTTTTAAATATTTGTAAAAAGGTAAGATAGTGCTCTACCATCATGTCTTTTTGGCACAGCACTTCTGCCTATGAAAAAGAAAGAAAAAAAGATGATAAAAGAATGATTGATATCAGCGTTTTTCCCTATTCCATTTTATTGATAATGACTCATCACTCCATATAAAAGGCTTCCAAATTTTCTACTAAATTTCTTGCCATAATCAACAGCTTTGTAGACTGAGCCCTAACAAAGTTTCTCTGTAAATCTCTTTATGGTTCATATATTGTCCATTGCATTGTATTACCTTTTGACCACATTCTATGACCTTTACTCAGAAGATACCCAATGGTAAAATCTTTTAAATCAGTATGACTCCTATGCTTTGAAATGAGGTTAAAGACAGGAAAATGATGTGAAAACAACACTGCCCTTCCATATTGCTCTATATCGAGTATAATGTCAATGGCAACCACTGGAATAGCAACATGAATCTTTCTATTAACTAAAAGAGTCTTCTTGTTTGGAATCATCCCATGATTTTTCTACTTTTACTCACAGCAGTTCTGCAAAACAATCCCTCTACTAGTTCATACAACGAACACTTAACACTTGCCAGAAGGCATGGGTTTACTGCAGTCCTGAGGAAACCCTGAAAGTAATGAACAAGATAAAACTGACAAAAAAATTTTATCAGTGATGGCTATTGATGCTGCTGATTGTCCTGACAGATATGATTGATAAATGCCTTGGCCCTAGACCTCATGACATTCTCATCAGATCATTTCACATCTCCTTTTCTCTTTTTCTGCCCGTTATTTGCTTTTGTCCCTTTCCCTCATTTTTTCTTGCTTATATCCACTTGGTTAAAATAGATTTCCCTTCTCTCTTGGTTTTTTCCTTTTACTTACTCCTTTCCACCTCCCTATCTGTCACTACTGATGTCCCTTTTAGGTTATAAACCACTGAATATGGAGTCTATGTGGATGAATTATCTTTGTAGAAATGAAAAAACAGGTTTGAGCCAATAGATTACAGATAAAACACTATCACAGAAGAAGGGGAAGGAAGAAAGTAGGTTTCTTTAAGATTTGATTATCCTCATTTCAGCTACAGAAGAATCATGTTTTCCCTGGAAGCAGTACAGGTTTACACTCCACTCCTACTGTTTTTCCATCATGGTAACTCTTAGGTAGCTTCTTTTGAGTGAGGAGTAAATTGTATCAAGAACTCTGAAGAAATTCCACGTTGCTAGAATCAGTCAAGGGAAAACCATTTCTTAAGCTATGTAATTTGTCTCTCTCGTCACATCTTTCAAATGCTGAGGACAATGATATGATCTGTAGAGAGCACACACTTCACAGTAACTCAAAGTTACAATTGCACTATTATTAAAGACTCCAAACATGCTTAAGTTTAGCATTATACAGAAATACTTCATGCACACAAATAATGTCAGAAAGTGTTTTCCTAAAAAATTCTGTTTTGTTCTCTCATCTTGATCTTCAGATAAGACATTATTTACCAAAGTTAACTGTTTCACAGTTTAGCAGTCCAAGCTTCTTGTTTTGCTATTCTATTCTCATTTCATGAAAGGAATTTACTCCTAAGTAATGCTTGTGGAAAGAAAACAATTTTGCAGGTGTTTACAAAAACAACTGTAACATTAGTTTCATTTTGTACTGTTTACTACTAGTTCTTCGTATAATACAAATAATGTGTTTTCAAGGAGTTGCTGCAGTCCATCTTTTTTCCTATTGAAAATACACACTAATTATGCCAGTTTCATGGGAATGTTTTTGAGGGCTTTTTGGTTTGTTGATGAAAAGTCTTGTTTTTGCCTGTATATTTTGGTTTAGAGGAGGTAGATGTTTTGTTTTGGTTTTGAAGTTAATATAAGGAAGATTTTTCAAGTTGTGTTTATTTCCTTTGCATGAAGAATGACAAGCAAAAGAGTTTGAACATCAGGAACTCAAGACCTGCTTTGCACCTGCTCCAAAACTCTCACCTCTATCTATTGTTACCTGAGAGTGGCTCAAGGCCTCTCAGATGTGCAGGTGTAGAATTTCACTGGCCCATAAACATTCAGGGTAAAACACATACTGTGGAGCAGGAAAAAAGAGCTGTGATTGTAGAAGGAAAGAAGGTAGTATGTGCCCTGAGATGGGTGTTCATCACCAGCATTTATTCTTTCATATCACCTTTCACCTTCTCAGGATGGGAGTATGGGACCTCCTGCAACTCCTGCACAAGACCATAAGCAATTCAGCTCTTTCATTCTGGAGGGTTTTTATGACTTTTTGAATGAATATCAATTCCAGCCAGAGTAATTTATTGATGTGCATTCTATGGAACTCATTCCACAGTTATGTCAGCTTTAGAGAAATCCTCTGCTGTATCTCCCATTTGCCTTCCCTTCCACACCCTAAGAAGTCTTTCCAGGTTCTTCCACTACTAATATCAAAGAAAATAATTAATTTTGCTTCTCTCCCATATGCTTGTCTTCTTTTTATCTGTTCAACCTCAAATTCTCTATTCTAACATATCCCTGAATCACATAATATTTGAGGCTGGACAGTCTCAAGTCCAACCCTCTGCTTAAAGCAGGACCAACTTGAACAGGTTGCTCATGGCCATGTCATGAAGTAACATGTGCCAGGGTTTTAACACGAATGGTAACTTTTAATTTGCTTCTTAGGAAATAATTAAAGTTATACTGGAAGCTAAATTCTGATTTAATTAAAATCAGCTGTACATTGATATTAATTTCACTGGGTGCATTTGTTTCTTAGAACTGAAACATTAAGTGAAAGTGAATACAACTTAATTTTCTGTTTATTCACTTAATAAAAGCCCTAGCTGTTCATGTCTCAACGCTAAGACAATAATAAATTTAAAAGTCTGTTTCCTAATCAGTCTTCATAAATAAGCACTGTTGTACCAGAAATGGTGAAAAAATAGCAAGATTAGTTAAAGTTTAAAGTTTTCCATTTACTGATTGGTTTCTATTGCTTCATTTAAGCAGCATTAAACCATATTGGTATATAATTAGTTCTGCCCTTAGTCTTTGGTAGTATTCCTCTTTAAGTTATAAGCTCTACAGAGCAATGCACAACCATTTGTTTGTGTTACATCCTTATGTGAAGACCTATTACAAGAGAATCACAAATTCTGTGTTCTTCATAATTGATGAGAGGGTAGAAGAAAAAGAATAGAGCCCTGTTCCATATTCACCTCACGCAGCTAAAAGTTTTTCAGTTTGCAAATGTAGCAATGTACAACCTACAGATTTAGGAGTTTGCTTATAATCTATTATAGTAAATTTAATTAATTAACCCATTCATTATTAAAGTTATGCCTCAGACAGGTATGGAAAAGTCTTGAATTAGAAATGCTCTCCCTCTAACCTTACAAAAAGCCATCTATATATTTTCACTGGATGTTTTCTCCAGTTGCTATGGTCAGTTGTTTGGCTAGGGAAAGATTATCATCTGATACGTAACAAAGCATAACACTTAATTTCACTCACGTGGGGTCTGACCACACATCAGATACACTCAGCCACAGTTCCTTAGGACTCCTTGTTGTTAGTGACAGGTCTGATCACCTACCCAGACTAAACCCTATTACAGCCATAGATCTGTATCTCAAAAACAATTTGACTTCAGCTGTCTTCCATCAGCTTGGGATCTGTACAATCTTCTGCTTTCCCGTGTCTTGTGACATAATTAGTGTATATATGTAAACCATTAGGATTTCCTCAGTACCTTAGGAAACAGAGAGATGCATTTAAACAGCTATTACCCAAGAGCTTTTGCTGCAGTGTTTCACAGATGTTTACAGTACAGGTGGTCTTTGGACTTCGAAACAAATATTGACTCTAGTACATGAAATCAGGTTTCAGAAACCTACCTGCAAGAAGTGTTCTGGAATTTGTAAATTCTGGCTTCCTGACAAGGAACATTAGGTTAAATTCAGGCACTTCGGACTTTTTCTAGATATAATGCCAGAAGATCCTTTTCTTTCATGTGGTATAGGACTGTAGTTACTTCTCTGGATCAAAAAGCTTTGTAAATCGTCTCCCCTATGGGCACAGTCTATGTGAACAATAACCAATATTTGCAGATGTACCTCTTTCATGCTTGCAATGAAAATATTTACATACTTGAACTGTTTGATACAGACAAACACATCTACTTAAACACTCAGTACTAATCTACTAAATAATAAATAGCAGAATTTTACATGCATTTTGCATGACTGAAAATGACTGCACAATTTTGTGAGCTCCAGAATTAGGCTTGTATGGTTATCTGGATGAAAAGATACAACATGCATCCAGCAACCATTTTAGTCATGATTCCTATCCATAGGTTATTCACAGCCTTTTCAGAAATTCTCCCACCGTCATTGCTACAGAGCTCAAATGTACCACTGGTGCTCTGAGGTCTGCAGGAAACTCTCAATCATCTGATTGGTAACATCTTTCAGAAATCCTCCAACCTGACCTTGTTACTACAGTTGACTTAGACAAGGAATTGACACTCAGGTAGCAATTCCACATACTTCATCTGGGCAAATATATTAGCAAACAGCAAATATCATTATCTTTCATCTGTGTCTGAAAGATTTCACTGCAGCTAGTCACTTAGCAGTCTCAGATAAACAAATCTGACATAAAACATAGCCAAAAATATTCTTAGATATCTGTCTAAATGGGGGACGTTAGATAATGGATGAAGGATATGTAGCATAAACCAACACAAGTATAATAAATGGTACCATACAAAAATTCATATAGCAACCAGAACACACCAGCATTTTTAGACTCCCATTCATAGATGAAATATGGAATAGAAAATGGATCTCACCAAATGATCTTCAGGCTTATAGACACAGTTGTCATGTCACAGCTTCATTATGATACTCTTCTCTTTTTTTCCCCCAAATCCTTTGCCCTGAAACAGACTAAAAAGCTCAGCCCTTGTGAAGTGTCATGATCTTGCTTTGACCCTTAGCAATAAGAACAGTTTTAGCAATGAGAAATGTCAGGACCAAGGATGTCACACCTTACCTGTTGCACTGAAACATGCAAAAGTGATTCAAACTAACAAAAAACCCACTCAAAAACAAACCGGAAAAAACCAACCAACCAACCAAAACCAACAAAAAACCCCAAAACAAACAAACCCTCCTGAATATGACCTAGTACCAGTGAATTATGACTATAAATTTCAAAATTTTGTTCTTAAAGTTTAAGATGAATATTTTGTTTTCATTTTTGCAATGCAGAGTATTCAAGTTACACAGAAATCACACTACTCTAGAAAATGAACCAGCAACACTAGATCATGTCAAGGAAGCAAACCCAGTTTTAGTCCTTTAAGAGGCAACCGAAGCCTGCAGCTCGCTCTACGAGGCAGGCAAAGAGAATGCCAGAACTATTAACTATTCTCTTTACCATCTTAAACCCTACCCTACATAGGTATATAGGCTACCCACAGGTAGCACATAGCAAAACATGTGCAAGAGCTGCTCTTAAGGTTTATCTTTCTTTTTCTACTTCAATATTTTCTCACCCATTTTTGGTTCTTTTTCTTTTTTCCCCTCTCCCAGCTTTTCCAACTAAAAAATTTAAGGAGCACCCTAGTTTCCTACATTCATATCAATCATAAGTTCTGTTTCTAGGCAGAAGATTCTTTCCTGTTTCTGAGGTTGACAGCTTACAGGCTTCCTGCTACTGCTGCTTTCTTATATCCACAATCCATGTTGCTTGTAATTAAACACCAGTGTTGCCTTTGGCCTCTCAACAGTTTGATAAGAAGTCAGCCAGAAAACAGAGAACAGAGCAGACCTGTCATAACCAAAATCTATCAACTCTAAGAAAAAAGCATTTGACTCACACATATCAGAAGGTTTGGACAGTGAAGTGAAAGATTCCATTTTCTGCTTTTGAAAATTAGTATTAAAATTGGCACCTAGAACACATTAGCTCCTCTAAGACAACCTCTTTTCTGTATCTTCAGAAATCTTGGCTAACGAGAAAAGTAATGGAAAGTTTATGATGCAATTTATTGTTAAATTCTTCCCAAATGCTACCAATGTCTTAGCATCCCAACAGAAACAGTCAGAGAACAAGGCATTTAGAGGTTTTGGGTAATCCATTCTATTTTGTTAACTCTCCACCTCGGCAGTACCATAAAACACGTCACTAGGATTCTGTAAGTGTTAAGAAGCAAAGTCAAAGTTATTTCAATGTGAAATCATTTTTAAGACACATACAGATTTTCCCAGTGGTTGGCATCAATGTTTTACCATTCCTGCCAGCATGTTCAGTAAGCACAGACCTGATCTCCTTAGAAACTAAAACAATTTTTACACAGACAGAAAGCTAGAATATGAAATTCATTCCTAGATTTTGATTTCACAAATATCTGAATCTATCCAAAGCTGTAGGTCTCATTTTCACAGTGTGTATAACATTGAAATATTGTAAGCAATAAAAATTTATCTTAGTTAACACTTGGAATTTACTTATCCTACCAAAAAAAGCAAAATTCAAACAAGTCAATTGATCTTTTATTAAAGGTTAGATGGTTCTTTGATTTAAGGAAGTGTGAAGAATATTGGTGTATTGCTGTCAGCTACATGTACAGTACAACTGGAAATTTTCTTCTACATGTACAGTACAACTGGAAATTTTCTTGCAGTCACAAAATAGTGAGAGAGTTGTAGCTGCTGGAAAGACATTTCAAGAAACTGCACCAAAAAAAAAAAAAAAGAAGAAACCAGCCTTTACAGTACTCTGTGTCAAGAAACAGGACAAATACATAGAAATATATAGATCTGGCTGTATTGTCCTGATTTTTTGTGCCAAGCAAAGCCTGGGCAAATTCTAAGACAGATTCACATATGCTGCGTTTCCAAATGATAGTTTAAAAAAAAGCTAGAAAAGTCACATAGGAGGAAGGGGAAAATGTGTATGAGTTAACAATAGCCTACATCTGAGCAGTGGCCAAAACATTTATCCTAAATATATTAAGAGATCAGTGTCTATAAAAACACGATCTTTTGAGATTAGAGAATAGTTAGTGTCTCAGTATAGCGTTCTAGCATATGATCGGTGATAGTTCTTGTACAGTTCAAACCTGACTGAATAGGTTTCAAATACAAGTAAATATAATAAAACTTAACTCAAGTTCAAAGGAGAAAAAAAACAGTGTTGAATTTTTACTATAGGTTCCACTTAAATACACATGCCCACTGAAAACAAATGTTGAAGAACAGCTGTCTCAGAACTTCATCACAGTCCCAGCCCTAGAAATTTTCAGCTGTCAGTGCCTCAGGGTAACTTTTCAGTGCAGCTAAGCTTACAATGAAACAAACAACAGATCCTGTTTCCAGGATTACAATTATCGGCTAAATAAATAGCATTTTTTAAACTTATCTACTAAACACATCAGTGGCAAAACCGCAATTGCTTAAGATAATAATGAACCAAATACAGGTGTGTCCACACACAGCCAGTCACTTCTGGAAGAAAGTACATCCAAGAGGTGGAGTAGAAATTAAGCAGAATGATTGGAGAAGCCCAACACACTCCCAGGAATGTGACTTGAAACTGAGCAAAAGGGAACTGCAGTGCCCCTTTGCTGGAATTGGAATGATACATTATATGAACGTTTCTTCTCTCCAATCCTCCCTACAATAATTCATCTCTATTTCTGCAGTGTCTTCCCTGCATGTGATTTGAGTCAATCAATTATCTCATGTTTTACTATTAAGTATATTAAAAGTTTAATAACTAGGAGATGGCTTCTCAAAGGCAGAATTCATGTTCATGTTAGTTGAGAGTTCAATCCTCTTATAATTTCAACCACAGCTTTTTCAGTAACTTCAATGAGAAGACTGAAGTCCTTGGAAGACTAGTTCCTCAGTACACCAAAAATGGTTTACCTAATTTTATTTTTTTTTTCAACAAAACAACAACAACAATCAGCTTTGTAATAGAGCTGAAAATATAATTCAGTTCATTACAAAAAACAGACTAACCAAAATACTGATCAAGTTCAAACATATTTCATCCTCCTCCCATAGGAAAAGCAAATTTCTTTATCTGGAATCTGCTAGAGAATGTCTAAATTATAGAGGAACCACTGAATAAAATAACATCTTTTGTCCAAAAACCATTTGTTGAACTCAAACACCAATGGGTTCTTGCATGAAACTCGAGTCACATTTTTCACACTTTCCCAAGATTGTGGGGAAAAAAAAAAACCAACAAAACTTTCATGATAGCAACTTCTGTTGAGATCCATGAATAACTACATGCAGAAAGTAGTAGAATCTCTTTGGAGAGTTCATTAAAAGATTCCTAAACCTTCTAAATACTCCTTAGACAGGCTAAGATCATCCAGATAACTTTGGCATGATATGCTTAAATATCGATTTTTTTTTCCTAAATCAATCCCAAGTTTTACATCATCATTTAAAGTACACTGAAATTTTAAATTACACCAGATGCAAACTAATGGACAAAATCTGGATATTTAGTGAGGTATATATTTCTTATCAGTACAGAGACATCAATACAGTTTTTGTGACAGATAACTCTAATTAATAAGAAGCAAATGGCAATTTCTCTGCTTAGTATATTACTTAACTCTATGCCTTGGATTTGCTTTCAGGTGATAATACAAACATGCCTGGTATTAATAATTAAATCATTTCAATTTCTGGCCATTGATTCTGGATGACCTACAGCTAAAGACAAAATGGAAGCACCCAGTATCTTCACACAGGTCCTAATGAACATAGTTTTCCATGATGTAGCACCTTCTAATTTATTTCAAATACAAAATAGCATAGATTACAAAAATTCTGATCTCTGATCTAAGTTAAACACTAATTTTGGTTAATTAGAATGATTCTATGAGGTGCAGGGAAGACCCACAGCATTTAAGTTGTAAACACACATCTGAGAACTCTCAAATTCTGGTAATGGGTCTTCTGCTTAACTTCTTAAAAAGTTTGCTACACTGTGACAGCTCAATTAAATGGCACTGTCCTCTACCTGGCCTTCATCCCTTTCACTATTAGACCAATAAATTTTAGTCTATATACATGTTTATATAAATGTTTATAATAGTATGACTTCTTCCATTATATTAGTTATAACAAATACACGAGTATAAAGTACAATGACTGCATGAAGGATTATAATGGTAATGCCAGAAAACAAACAAAAATTTTAGAAAACCCCCCAAAACCAAACAAAACCCCACCAAAACAAAACAAAAGAAAAAACAAAACAAAACAACAAAAAAAACCCCTGAAACCACCAAAACCCCCACCACAATACAAAACCAAAAAAGCAAACAAGTGTACTGGTAAGATATTTTAAAAAGTACATCGGTCCTTATCAGCAGGCAACAGGTTTAGGTTCTCTTTTCTAGCTCTAGTCAATAGACAACACTTTTCTTTTTCTAACCTAAGTACAGGAAAAACTTCACAGAGTAGAAGTAAAGCAGTTAAGAGCTGACTTCAAATGTGAGTAAACTGTATTAGCAAAGTTCAGAGGAATTCTATTTTACATTTAATCCAGACCAATTCACCTGCCTCCCACTCCCATTAGCAAATTACTGTATAAGGCTTTTGCTTACAAAAAGATAAGTTAGCTCATTTAGACTATGAAAACCACCCATCATAAGAAAGGGGACTGCAAACTTAATAAAGCCTATTTTGTTAAGATAACATTAACATGTGCTTGCTGCAACATGTATTTCTCCTTTCTTACATTGCAGAGCTGAGTTACCATGTTTGTGAGCAGACTGATAGTTAATCTGAATCATTTTGTCCTATTCTGGGCTTCATATCTGTTTTCATCCTTATGCTTCAGTATTGTTGGAATGAGAACAGCTGTGAATGGGCACACTACTATCAGCACTTTCTGTGAGGGATCTGCACATGGTCTGATAGCAGCTTGAATAAGACTGCTCTTATTCTGAAGAAAGGAAAAATGACAATTTCATAAATCTTCTTTCAGTATTTAACACCTTATTTTCAGTGACAATTTCTACATTCTGCCTCTGAATACCATCTTCTTCATTCCACAAAAATGTAGTCAAAGGAAGTGTAAGCTATAGAAGAAGTTACATTAGGTAATTGCCTTTTTCTTCTTCAATATACAACTTTAGATTTTACAGAGGTAAAACTCTATTAATACTTGTGAAATCACATTATGTGTAGTAACTAGAATAGTTATCTTCTCACCTGTTCTCGTCCTGTTCCAGGCTCTAGCTTGCTATACTCCAAAGAAGGTGAAAGTTTAGAAAGAGAAGGTAAAAATTTTAAGCTGCCTTAATTTCTCCTTCAGGTTTAGACACCCAAGCAGAAGCCATCTTTGTCATGAACTAAATTTCCAAATTACCTATAGGCTGGTTTGCACCTCAAGAAAGTACTGAACCAAGAATTGTTTACCCTCTTGTCCCATATGCAATAAAAAAATTCCTATAAAGCTGCAGAAGGTGTATAATGAACTACATCTACACACATAAATCTATATTTCTACATATAACATTTGAACAATACCTTCTGTACATAACAGCAAAGGAATGATTTTATTTTGACCCTTACTTTCCATCCAAAAATTCAATTCCTATTTTTAGAGAAAAATGGGGAATATGTCCTGCAGGATCATAAAAAAAAAATTCAGTTAAAAATAAACTGAAACTAAATGACAAACACTTGCTGCAGTTTTCATGGGCTGTAACTGACAGAGCCCCCAGTGTGCTTATTTAGGATGCACTCTAGTGGACACACATATAACAGAATCAAACAAAGATACAAA